CACAGGAAAACCAGCGACTCGAGACAAGACACGTGGATGCAGAAAAACCAGCATTTCGTACGAGACGTCCTCCAATTTTCACAGTTGGCAACATGACAAAAGGACAAGTTTTGCAGCTTCCCCCATAGACACGGCGAGGCCACGGGAAAACCAGACACGCGAGAAGAGACAGGTGGGAGCGCCAAAACGAGCATTTCGTGCGAGACTTCCTCCGATTTTCACACTTTGCAGCTTCAAAATCGACGTTTTCCTACGAGTTTTCCTTAGAACCTGAAAATTTGCAACCTCAAAATCGATGTTTCGTGCGAGGCTTCCGTCAATTTTCAGCACATGTCAGAAAATGCCACGCCTGCCACGGAATTTGCACCTTGTCACCACTTGACGCAGCCCTGCCAATGCGATTTACAAAAAACACGCAACGCGACACGTCTAAAGTGCTGCGCCTGCCACGAAAAATAACGATGGACACGTCCAAAGTGCTGCGCCTGCCACGAAAACTGCAACACATCTTCTGAAAACGTCGCAAAAGTAGCAAAACGACTTTCGACACGTTCCAGAATACGTCTGAATGTCACGAAGTGCCACGCCTGCCACGCGAAACGAAGCAACGACACGTCTGAAACCTCCAAAAAGGACCACCTCTGTAAAACTTCCCATAGGCACGGCCATACAGGGATCGCGCGGACGGTTGCGAACGGTTGCGGACGGTTGCGAACGGTTGCGCTCGCGAACGCAACGTCGAGCGAACACACCCTCAACCCCCAGACCCCCAGAGTGAAACGGGAACCCTTGCTACGCATTCGGGAAAAACCATCCGTCACTGTGAAATGGTGTGAGGTTCTTATAAATTCCCCAGATTTAGGGTCGCTACTTGTTGCTAGGAAGATCTGAATGAAACCCAAAGTTTTGATCCACCTCATTGGATGCGTAAGAACCCGGTTGTGACCCCTGTATCCTAATAGGTTGGTACCTGTCTAGCCTATACGACTAGAATATTATATAATGGCAAAGACCCTAAAATTTGCCAGAGGAAGCTTTACCATGCAGAATTCATCACTTGAGTAAGATTTCTGAGTATTTGTCTGATATCCCAAATATGTAGATAGCCCTAGCATGGAATTTACAATGTCTGATTTGTAAAGTCTGTCGAATGACCAAATCAACGTGACAGGACATCCCTAGATCGAGTCAGCCAAGGACATGAGAGAACAAGACGACAAAATAAGAAGCCTGACAAGACACTGGGGAACAAGATGGAACAAGTACCCTCTGGTAAACTAACACTTTGCGAACTGGAACATCACCATCTTTGAGTTCGGTAAATCAACGAACTAAATGGGCCATGTTCAATAGCTATGTAACAGTCATTACCAGAGGGTATCTCTGAAGGTGAACCAAAGTCCCATCTGGTTGGTTGCTGGGGATGGTAAAAATTGTTGCTGTAGCAGCTGTGAAACCATCCATTAACATCCATTCATATCCCCATTTGATGACTAAATCGCACAATATCCACTAATAGTGGTAGTTGCTGTATGTGATTTTAGATTGACAATCCCTCTAATATCCCAAAACACATCATATTCTTGGATATATAACATGTTTGATGGTTTGCTGTTGGTTCTTAAGCTTACTATGGTAATAAACACAATATCAACCCCGTTTTTACTCACTACCACCCTTGCGACTGGACGACCACTTGCACGTCTTTCAGGGACAAGTTGGAATCCTGCACAGCGGATGCCCTCCACATTGCCAATCTTCGAAACCCTGCATATGTTTGAAACTTGTTAATATAATATATATATATATATCCCCATCTACTGCCAAACAAAAGTACTAAAGTTGCTAAACTATACTTAAAGTACCCATCCAAGGTTGGCCCAGCCCAAAATGGGCATTTAAGTGGGGAAACTGAAGATGATAAAGCATTGGTTTTTAAGGAGCAGGTCCACAATAATTAAAAGCGTAAAAAGATGTACCAGCAGTTGTCAATGGCCTTAGAACATCTTACATCTGCTCCAAACTGGGGTTTCAATGGAGTACACCACTCAAGATTTCACATAGAACCTGAATCATGGGGTCCCACAAATGATTACCATCAATTACTACCATCAATTACTACTTATTGGTTGTAAAAGGCGGGTTTAAACCAGTTCAGTTCAACCCCCGGAGTTTAACCAATTCAATTCAACCCCTCTTTTTTGATCAATCAACGAATAGGAAATTCGGACACTTTTGGAAAAATCCAAGGCTTGTCCCATTGTTGCTGATTTTACCAGCCCTCTCAGCCGCCTCAGCCCTTCCCAATTCCCCAACTGTTTTCTGCGACATCAACCCCTGGTGGCCCCACCAATAGAAGGCCACGGACAGTGAGCACGTTGATCCTCATCTTGACGTTGCTTTGCACCTACACTTTGGCACTTTGGGAGGGCTTCAATAGTTTAATCCACAGGTGTTCAAGGGTTTTTCCATGGTAAACACCTCACACGATTTATGTGGTAAACAACGGTAAAGCCAATACGAAAAAATCCATAAACCGGTTTATGGGATCATCCCAGCCAATGGGGGCCAGATTTGGCTGGCTGAAGTAAACCAGATTGCCACCAATTTGCCACCATTCTTGCAATGATTTAATTGCCATAGATTGGAGCAAGCCTGAGTAAACTCATTCATTTGAAACCACCAAACCAGAGGAGGGTTGTCACACATTCAGGGAAAAATCCGTACTAGTTCCGTGCTTGTTCAATATTGTTCAACAAGGCCCTTTGAACCCACCCCTTCTTGCTGCACGTCAAAATAATTCAGAATATAAATATAACAAATCCTAAATAAGTGTTTCTTTGAAAATAAAGTGTAAATATATAATTATAATATATGTCATCAATTACCCCAAAATTCAAATTTGATTTTTCAAATAACATTGCCATGTTGGGGTATACCATATTTCGATCTCCATATTTCTGGAAAAATCCTTTCTGGAAAAATCCAGATGATAAAGTTCACAAGTTTCTCCTATATGCACCATGGATATCCCTCGACCTTCCGAAGGATCTACCGGAGAAGTTCAACCCCTATTACCCTCCAAAATCCAGGAGTGCTCAATATGAACCTTCTCTGGAAACCCTGAGTATTGAATCCATTCTGAGAGTCCATTGAAGGGACTTTGGGTATCCAGGGGAAGGAATTACATGTCCTGAAATCTTGAAAACATCGAAAAAAAATAAATATATCTCACGGTAATATAACATACTATGACATGTTCCATGGCTGTCGTAGTATTCGAAGACCACTTGGATCAGCCTCCAATTCACAAATGGTGAGTACCTAAAAGCCTTGCGACCCCTGGAATCCCGATGACTGGCAAGCGCCATGTCTCAGCATGTCTCGGTCGTTGGGGGAACTAGAAATCTCCGAGCTAAAGGAAAAACGCCGTGTTATGGAAATGGGTTGCAGTTGCACGGACCCGAACTATCAAGAGCTCCGGATCCGGCCATAGACATTTGAAAGACAGTTCCAGATAGAATGTCAGAAGATATGTCAGATAGATTGCCAGAAAAGATGCGAGATAGAATGTCAGGTAGAATGTCAAATGACATGTCAGATAGAATGCCAAATGGAATGCCAGAAAGAATATCAAAAGAATGTCAAACGATATGTCAGATCGACATTCTATGGGATTGCTTCTTTGTTGTCTGGACAGATACGTGTATCTGGACAGTTGTCTAAAATGCCATGGTGGGTATCACTCGAAGTAAAGTACTTTGCACATACAAAATAGACACCAGTGAATTTATTGTACCCTCTGGTAATTTAACATAGCTATTGAAAATGGCTATTTATAGTGGAATTTTCCCATTAAAAATGGTGATTTTCCATAGTTATGTGGCTGTTTACCAGAGGGTATCCATCGTGTCTCCTAAAACATCTGTATCTACATCTAATCAAATCCCTTCAAATCCGTTCAGTCTCCGGCGCCGGGGCACCCATAGGTGCGACCAGGGGAGCAAGCTTGTTTCCTCCTTCTTCACATCAGGTTCCTGGCGCAATGATCATCCAGCAAAACCATGGATGTAGGGGATGAAACCACTAATATCTAGGGGACTTTTTTTGGGGAGTGTTTAATATAAGGGGAATGGGAGTATGAAAATGGGGAGACATATTTCAGAGTATTTTTCCGAACCAATCATGACTAGTCAGCTGGGATGGGGTGTCCTGTTTTCAGATGTTTTCAGACCAAGCCACCTAATTATATAATCAAATATAAATAACCCTGGTTTGGGCCTCACTGAAATATACAAAATGAAGGTTGATGCGAATCATCCTCCTGTTTGTGAAGGTGAGAACAAAATTAAGTTAACATCAAGCGGTTAGAAATGGCTACGTTACATTTTAGACCTGGATTTACGGGCTTCCCAACCATTCCAGAGAGGTGAAAATGACAGGAAAATGCTGCCGACTGATCCAAAAATGATCTGGGCATGATTTTTTGAGGTTCACAATGCACAAATTCAACGTAGAATCCAAGAATTGCAATTTCCAAGAGGAAAAAACATGTTTGGCTCTGCCAGTTGAAAATTTGAGACCGGTCCGTGGTTGAATCCCTGCAAAAATATGCTGGCTATTGAAATATATATTATAATATATATATATCTTATATAATATATATATACGTATATATATTATTGTGATTTATTGTGTGTTCCAAAAAAAAAAATGTAAAAACCCACCATATCTGATGCACATCTCTGATGCTCGATCATACTTTTCCCCATTGAAATTGTATTTTGCCAGGTAAATTTGGGTAAATTTGCAGGACAAATAATCATCGCACCCGGCCTCATCAGACCTGGCGGATGGGCTGTTGTGTGCGGCTACATGCCTGGAATCATCTATTTACAGAACATCATAATTGTGTATTAGTACATTATAGAAATACATAGAAATGCTGCATAACCATTCCTGAAATAATATTGGATAGTTATAATTATAATATCTTATAACTATATACTAAAGTTAATGAACAAAAAACGATTCCAAAAGGGTGATTTGAGGTTCGGGGGGGCAAAACGAAGCCCCGCTAGTGTTGGATGAAGCTGGACCGCCAGCCTAATAGGAGTCTTCTTCACCAAACAATGGTGACACATGGTGCTGGTATGCAAGGTCTTGTACTTGGAGTAGTCGGCCACCAAATGCAACGCCAGATTCAGCTCGAGATAACTCGAGTACAGTACAGCGCGTGCACCAGCCGTTGAAAAAATCCCTGGGCACTCAGAAATCTCTGCCTCGAGGCACCACAGGTTTCCAGTGGAAACGGAAGTTGATGCGGATGTTTGTTTTCATACCACCCCAACACACCCCCAGCGTCAGCGTAGCATCAAGTGAGCAAGCAGGTTGAGGTGAACGTTACTACACCCAACCCCACCCCAGCATCAGCAATACGCAAGAGCAAATTGAAGCAACACGCATCAAGTGAGCAAGTTCAGCTGTAACAAGAGTTGAGCAACTAAAATTACCATCTGGTGATTTAACATAGCCATGGAAAATCACCATTTTTAATAGGTAAACCATCTATTAATGGGCCATTTTCCATGGTTAAATAACCAGAGGGTAATTGGTGCAGAGATGCCAGACATGAAGAAATGGACCAAAAATGAAATGCCCAATGCACAAGAGCCCGCAGCCGGCTCGGCTTTGAATGTGTGTTCCAGTTTGGTCAATGGCTTCATATGGTTCCTGGTTCCTGTCTAGAAGTACAGAACTGAAGACATTCCATATATCTCTGGCTTATTTTCGGGATGCACTTACCCAAAGTTCATCTTGTTACCATCCAAATTGCTACATATCGGGGCTCCCAAGTTATCACAACCAGAGGCCAATGCTTGCGCTGAGCTGAGACGCCAAGGATGCCATTGATCAGCGCCGAAGTATTGATCACTTATTGTCATGCTATAAATACCAGAGCACCATGCATGATTTATCATTGTTGTCATGGTATTTATAGACACTAATCCCATTTAACACCATATATATATTATAATCATTATAATATATATATATATACATATTGCACTGCTGATCAAGCTACACCTCGCATTGCAGACTTGCCCTCCCGCACCTGCTCCTGCTTCCCAGCAACACCTTGAAATCCTTGATCATTTTCTGGTAGCCTAAGCAGTCGACTCCCGCAGTTGACGCTCTTAATCTTAGTCATCTATCAAGGAGTATTCACTGGCCATTGCAGGAACCTAAATTGGAGGTACCTAACCATATAAGGCCTATGTAAAGGAATATTCCCACTTTTAGGATCCTGAAATTCCTATTTAAGTACTTCCATTGCCATGATCAAATGAGGAAATCTAGGCGCTGAATAGATCAGGCTTTTTTTCTACTCTGAAGTGTGCTACGTTCCCTGTGACCTCTCTACTTTCATGTCTTCATGGTTTACAGCCTTAGCTCTGGGTGGTCTACCAAAGTCAACAATTGCTATCGCTTGCATCGGTCGCCTGCTTAAATCTAAATGGTTCTTAGTAAGTCTTAGTAAATTGAAGAAAAACATCTGAATTGCTATGCATTTGAAGGATCATTTTCTTGGTTGCGAATACAGACTCGACAAACTCATCCCTTACATCCTGAAATGATGGCCAATCTTAGATACCCTACTTTCTTTTAAACTACTGTAATTAGTATACAGTCTATGATCCCCACCTGTGGCAAAAGGTGAAAAAAACATCGCTCATCCAAGGTTCCCCCAGACGTGACAAGCGACGACTTTCTTCTTCAACTTTGTCGTCCTCGCTCATGACCTGCGAAGATATGGTGGGTCCCATTTTAGCAGGAAATGATGGAAATGGTTGAAATGGGCGTTTCTTTTTTTGGGGATCCCAGCAAATCAACCAGGGTTCATTATTTTCCGTTGACATATTGAGCAACAGTCTTTAGTGAAGTGAAGAGATGTTTTCAGAGTAGTCGAAAGGGGTGCACCACGGTTTGTTGAAAACAACATATCTAAATCTGGTTGGTGGTTGACCTACCCCTCTGAAAAATATGAAAGTCAGTTGGGATGATAAAATTCCCAATATATGGGAAAATAAAAAATGTTCCAAACCACCAACCAGTAAATTTATACTGCAAAACGAGGTAGAAACACCCAAAGAACGAGGTAGGCATTGCATGCAAAGGCATCTAGCTGTCAAAAACAAGTGCCGTTTGGCAGAACGAGGCCAGGTCCCCCCAAAAAACGGTAAGGGAATGGAGAACGAGGTAGGAACACCCTGAAACATGTTGAGCAACAAGTGGATATACCCTGCGGTAAACATGGCAGGCTGGACATCCCCAGCCTAACATCCTATAACTGGAGGCTTTCAGCCATGTTTCAATGGGAAAATCAGCTCCAAATTACATGATGGATTTTCATGGATTTTCTGTGTCCACATGTGATGAAACCAGAGGGTAAGTGGCAAGCGGTATGCAAAGAGACCTTGGAAGTTGTTGACAGAGAAAAGCGCGCTGCCAGGACCACACGTTCTGTTTGTAAATAGCTCATGACATGTCACAACCCCGAGCAGCTGCTATATATTTGGATATTACGAAAAAAGAAATCGTGGCTCCTAACCTCACGGTTCCTCCCATAGGTTTTTCTGTCCCAGCCGAATCCGCCCTCTGTCCTAGTGTTGTGTTTCGTCAGGAGTTTACCCCCAAAAACCAATGATGTAACTAGTTTCATCGCGCACACAAATAGACTAGGGCCAATGCTTGTGGATATCCATCTACAATCTCCAATCCTAACTCTTCCCAAAACTAAATAGTTCAAAAAATCCAGCCCTCTATACTTTACTCGTGATTACACATGATTTTCAGAATGTGTACCCTCCGGCCCTCCGGTATCATTTCCATGGCTTGCTGGAAAATCGAAAATCGCCCAGCTCCAGTTTCATGAGTTTTGAACTAAACCTCCATCCATTCAGGCTGGTACCCTCCAGTTCTGTTCGCTGGTTTATCCGTTTTATTACCTCCATGAACTAGTTCTAAGATAATCATCCCATAATGTCACACCAATTTTATTGTTGTTGGGATATGGAGGTAATATCTGCGTAGACCGTTATACACCAACCGTCTGTTCGATATGATTTCTAATCCCTTTGATCCCTATTGATAATCCTAGTTCGATTGAATTGGAGCAAGAATGACTCAACGCCCCATGAAATCCCATGAAATCCAATGATGAACTGGATTGATTAATCATGATTAATCTTAATGAACTATATCATCCCATCGTCATCTAGTTCCAATCATCAAATCCCAAAACCAAATCCAGCAGCCTGAGAGACGCTTACATGGCCCTTCAAGAGGCAGGCCTACATCCGGGTGGGAAAAAGGGAGCTTTCCCAAGTCTTTTGGGGCTACCCCTATTTTCGTCACCATGGTCGTGTCATGTTGTTTCAATAGCAAAATGGTACAATGACTTAGATGATTTGGGCTACCCCTATTTTCGGAAACCCTAAATGGATAGAAATGGGGATTGAACAGCGTAAAACAACCAGTTGTTTTGATGGAACATGGAGGATTCAGCGTGGATGAATGAACTTATGAGAACAGTATAGAACAGTAATATGTTTCTGTGTTGGTTAAAGCCCGCGGGGTCCCTTCTGTGATCAAAATAGTTGGTAGTTATGGATCATCATCACCCCAAATGGTGTAATACGTTTTGGTCCGTCCCTATATATTTATGAGGATGGTGAGGTTCTCTGAGCGACTGAGACGATCCCGTTTCCGAAGTGGTGGTTTCAAGCCATCAGACACGTCTCGTGTCTTTTTCGCAATCTCATCCCCTGCTTCAGGACCTCATACCGTGCAGAACTCAACCGTGGCTGGTTGGGAAATCCCTGAACTAAATGGAGTTTTTAATAGGAAAATGATCTACAAAAAATGGATACTGTATTTCTATGGGAAAAATTCCATGAAACAATGGTTGATTACCTTTTAGGTGTATTCCTCATGTGTAAATGGTCAGGAATTTCCTCGACCGATACCGGGAATCAATGGATGTGGATATCCCCTCTGGATCCCGGTAAATGATCTATAAATGTTCATCAATTTTTTGTTTCCAATTTTGGGATACCAATATTGCCCCGCCTTTTGCTTGTCGGGAGTGATCATGGGCTGCCTGATTCGACGTGACTGGTGGTTGAGCCACCCATCCAAAAAATAAATTGGGTGAGCGTCGTTCGAAACGGGGGGAAATAGAAAGTTGTCTGGTTGGTGGTTTCAACCCTTCTGAAAAATATTAGTCACTTGGTATTATTATTCCCAATATATGGAAAAAATATGTTCCAAACCACCAACCAGCAACCAGCCAACGTATCTAACATGAAGATCTGTAAGCAACAATGATGGGGATTTCACCGAAACAACATCGAAATATTTCATGATCCAATATATTGGGTAGTCAAATTCCCTATCAAAAGCGGTTTTGAACCCTGCATCCTGTGGACTTTCGGCTCAACCTCCATCCAGTAATCTCTGACCAAAACTCATGTCCTGTGAAATCTTCAGAGGTGAGTGGTCCAGTCGAAATTTCAGACCTGTTGGGAAATTCTACGTATGAAGTGTCCTATTCAATAGGTCCTGAATTGACCTGTGCCCAGACATGAACTATCCCTTATGTTTCCTGTTGATGGGATTGATATCCAACGTTTCTTTTAAAATTGTTCTTTGTAGTTTTTAAACCCCGACTTGATTTGTAAAACTCAACATTTTGGGGTGGTCAAGCCCGCAATCAGGAGGGCACCCTCTGCTGATACCCATGAAATTTCATCTACAATCCGGTAATCAAACGTGGTAATGGGAAATAGCCTACAATTTAAGGTCCTAACCTGATAACTGTTTTAACAGGAAAATCATCGATTTGATTGTGGATTGTCCATTGCCATGTTTGATCACCGGAGGGCATTTCCAGGTGATTGTTCCATAAAAATCGGGATTGGATTTTTCACGTGGTATCAGCGACAAAAACAAATGATATTCACATATATTCACTTCATACTCACTGACAATCTAATCAGCGGCTAACCAAACGGTGATTCGCTATGATGCGCTCTTCATGAACGGCAATCACGACCAGGCTAAATATATTATATATCGAAACACTTGGAACACATGCCATTGAAGAGCCACAAAACGTTGATCACAAAAAATGTCTTTCTGGTCTTCCCCCAATCCCCCAATCCTAATAAAAATTATATATATATATATATATTTATCCGATAAATAAACATGAATACCATTAAATACCCTAGAAACTGGAAGCCCGGGCTTAGTACTGGATAGCACTTCATTTCGAGGTTCCTTATTGGGGGATATGATAATATCCCGGGCATTATATTTGGTAAGCAATCAAAGTTTACTGTAGAGGTCCATACGCTTGAGCGAGACTACCGGATGCGTAAAAACATAGCGGCGGAAAATCATTACAAGCAAAGATTTGAAACGACCAATCAGCCGCACCTTACATATTTTTTGTGCTGTTGCACATACACTTCAAACATCGTCAACAAGTGGTTCCAATGCAGGTAAGAGCAAATGACTCACGTCAATTCCGGTCACCTTGAAACCAAGTCAGATAAAAAAAGTTGAAAAACGTGAAGATGAAAATGCAAACAACATGGGCGTGTGAGACAAATCCGAAAATTCTCACTCCATAGCATAGAACATCCTAATTCAATGGCCTTGAAACAACTCTTCAAGTCGTTGTTGCTGGATCCATAGTCAAAATCTCTCGCCCCAAATGGCTGCTCATTGTGGACTCTGGTAGCTATTCCCTTGTTTACAATTCCCAAGTTAGTCATAATCCTCATGTCTGTCGTATCTCCGAAGGTGCTGCATGGTTTACGGTATACCCACCATTGTTTTTAGGGGATGGGCCTCCTGGTCCCGAGTCGCGCCTGAGATTCATTTGGCGCATCAAGAAGAAGTGCCTCGTGAAACGCGTGAAACGCTCGAAACGCTAACCGTGCATCCGAAGGACCGTCAAGTCACAGGTGTATCCTTTAAGGTTTGGGCTGCAACGGGGAGTTTCTGACATGTCTGAGTCTTGAAAAACTGACAATCACTGGATTGTGGGGAAGATGTACAGGAAAACCATGGTCTCAGCATTCAAATGCAGCGATGTCCTTCACGTGTTTGTAGATCAATATAGTTCCTTGAAACCAACATCTGGATGAGAAAAACCGTCCGATCGTTAACCAAATTTCACTCAGCCCACACCAAATCAAAATGGGCGATTGAAACGGAACGCTCCCCACACCAGAATGAGAAGTTTAGTTCGTTGGCCATGAAACCCCCGCAGTGGTTTGACATGCATTGGTTCTGAATGGATAGAATCTACACTCTACCCTTCAATAAACTAGTCCCTTCTTCCTATTACTGAAACCTCCCCAAATAATTAAAAACTACATAAAACTACCCCAGATTCTTCGTTTTGGGAAATTTCAGATTGTTCAATTTGATTTTTGATAAATCCCCATTAGAAAACAATTTACAAAATCAAGGTCCAATTTGAAAGTTCTACCGCCTTAATAATAAAAACTAGTTAACCCCAATTTTCTTCTAAGGGACCGTTTTTTAAAAATCAACAGTTTTAGTTATTTAATTAGGGTTTTTAATTTAATGTTAGGGGAAAACATCGAAATCCAATGTTTGGCATTAATTAGATTTTGAAAAGGAAATTAATCGATTTTGAAATCAAACATTTTTGTTTCTTTAAGGGTTCTGAATGCGTTTATTTTAATATTAGTGGAAAACT